ATAGGGGGGCAATGTGGCAGATGTTGCAGGTGTATGGTGTAGGAGGTAGGTTACTGAAAGCAGTGAAGAGTTTTTATGAGGATAGTGAGGCTCAAGTTAGAGTATGTAGGAAAGAGGGAAATTATTTCCCAGTAAAAGTAGGCCTTAGACAAGGATGTGTAACGTCACCGTGGTGGTTTAATATATTTATAGATGGGGTTGTAAGAGAAGTAAATGCGAGGGTCTTGGCAAGAGGCGTGGAGTTAAAAGATAAAGAATCACACATGAAGTGGGAGTTGTCACAGTTGCTCTTTGCTGATGACACTGTGCTCTCTGGAGATTCTGAAGAGAAGTTGCAGAGCTTGGTGGATGAATTTGGTAGGGTATGCAAAAGAAGAAAATTAGAAGTGAATACAGGAAAGAGTAAGGTCATGAGGATAACAAAAAGAGTAGGTGATGAAAGATTGGATATCAGATTGGAGGGAGAGAGTATGGAGGAGGTGAATGTATTCAGATATTTGGGAGTGGACGTGTCAGCGGATGGGTCTATGAAAGATGATGTGAATCATAGAACTGATGAGGGGAAAAGGGTGAGTGGTGCACTTAGGAGTCTGTGGAGACAAAGAACTTTGTCCTTGGAGGCAAAGAGGGGAATGTATGAGAGTATAGTTTTACCAACGCTCTTATATGGGTGTGAAGCATGGGTGATGAATGTTGCAGCGAGGAGAAGGCTGGAGGCAGTGGAGATGTCATGTTTGAGGGCAATGTGTGGTGTGAATATAATGCAGAGAATTCGTAGTTTGGAAGTAAGGAGGAGGTGCGGGATTACCAAAACTGTTGTCCAGAGGGCTGAGGAAGGGTTGTTGAGGTGGTTTGGACATGTAGAGAGAATGGAGCAAAACAGAATGACTTCAAGAGTGTATCAGTCTGTAGTGGAAGGAAGGCGGGGTAGTGGTCGGGCTAGGGAAGGTTGGAGGGAGGGGGTAAAGGAGGTTTTGTGTGCGAGGGGCTTGGACTTCCAGCAGGCATGCGTGAGCGTGTTTGATAGGAATGAATGGAGACAAATGGTTTTTAATAATTGACGTGCTGTTGGAGTGTGAGCAAAGTAACATTTATGAAGGGGTTCAGGGAAACCGGCAGGCCGGACTTGAGCCCTGGAGATGGGAAGTACAGTGCCTGCACTCTGAAGGAGGGGTGTTAATGTTGCAGTTTAAAAACTGTAGTGTAAAGCACCCTTCTGGCAAGACAGTGATGGAGTGAATGATGGTGAAAGTTTTTCTTTTTCGGGCCACCCTGCCTTGGTGGGAATCGGCCAGTGTGATAATAAAAATAATAATTAAAAACTACAGGTCTCCCTCAACATTTGCGTTTTCAACTTTCGCGGGCTTCACACATTCACAAATTCCCAACCGCCAAATTCCCAGCTGGCAAATCATATTTAAGGTTACCGCCACGAGTCCTTACTACCCTCCCTCCGACCCCTGCAACTGGCAGCCAGTCCTCCCACCACTGTGTGGTGAGTGTTTTGTTTGTTCATTATTTGCTATTAAACTACAGTATAAATAATGTAAACCCATCCATGACTGCATATTGGAATGGCTATTTGGACAGGTATTGGAAGGTGACATCGTGTGTTTACTCTTGAACACAGCAAAGAATCAAACATTTCTGCTACTGCTAATAATAATAATAATAATATTAATATAATAATAATAATAATAATAATAATAATAATAATAATAATAATAAATACGATAGAATTGAAGAAGGAAATTGTACAAAATACGAGGGTTGAAGCAGTGGTGGAGGAAGTGGTTGACGCAGCGTCATGTGGCTTTGTTTATGCTGGAGTATTAGTCTCCGTGCTCTTCCAAACATTTCACAATAATTCATTGTATTTGGTGCTTGTAGATTGAGTGTGACTGGAGTGGTTGAGGCATGGTAGAGGCAGTGATAGAGGCATGGTAGAGGCAGTGGTGAGGCAGTGGTAGAGGCAGCAGTTGAGGCAGTGGTAGAGGCAGTTATAGAGGCAGTGGTAGAGGCAGTGGGTGAGGCAGTGGTAGAGGCAGTGGGTGAGGCAGTGGTAGAGGCAGTGGGTGAGGCAGTGGTAGAGGCAGTGATAAAGGCAGTGGTAGAGGCAGTGGGTGAGGCAGTGGTAGAGGCAGTGGTAGAGGCAGTGGGTGAGGCAGTGGGTGAGGCAGTGGTAGAGGCAGTGATATTTATTAACATATATATTATAAAATACCACTGCCTCTATCACTGCCTCCTCCCTGCCTCTATCACTGCCTCCCTCCCTGCCTCTATCACTGCCTCCCTCCCTGCCTCTATCACTGCCTCTATCACTGCCTCTACCATTGCCTCACCCACGGCCTCACCCACTGCCTCACCCACTGCCTCTACCACTGCCTCTATAACTGCCTCTACCACTGCCTCTATAACTGCCTCTACCACTGCCTCAACTGCTGCCTCACCCACTGCCTCTATAACTTCCTCTACCACTGCCTCTATCACTGCCTCTACCACTGCCTCTACCACTGCCTCAACTGCTGCCTCACCCACTGCCTCTATAACTTCCTCTATCACTGCCTCTACCACTGCCTCTATCACTGCCTCTACCACTGCCTCTACCACTGCTTCAACCACTCCAGTCACACTCAATCTACAAGCACCAAATACAATGAATTATTGTGAAATGTTTGGAAGAGCACGGAGACTAATACTCACTCCAGCATAAACAAAGCCACACTGACGCTGCGTTAACCACTTCCTCCACCACTGCTTTAACCCTCGTATTTTTGTACAATTTCCTTCTTCAATTCTATCGTATTTATTATTATTATATTAATATTATTATTATTATTATTATTATTATATTATTTATTATTAGCAGTAGCAGAAATGTTTGATTCTTTGCTGTGTTCAAGAGTAAACACACGATGTCACCTTCCAATACCTGTCCGAATAGCCATTCCAATATGCAGTCATAAATGGGTTGACATTATTTATACTGTACTGTAGTTTAATAGCAAATAATGAACAAACAAAACACTCACCACACAGTGGTGGGAGGGCTGGCTGCCAGTTGTGGGGGGTCAGAGGGAGGGTAGTAGGGACTTGCAGTGGTGGAGGCAGTGGTATTTAATAACATACATGTTGTTAAGGCATAACGTATGTAATGTATTTAGTACAATTTACGACGTTTTCATGTATTTTATGATTGTTCATGCTTCAACAAGTTAAGGAAGCAGTATTGTATTATATTTCCCTACAGTATATTGGGGCACCAAACATTCACGGTTTTTCACCATTCGCGAGGCTCTTGATCCCCTAACCCTCGTGAATGTTGAGGGAGACCTGTATAGTATTTGTTGTATGTAAAACTGTAATTAATCTCTATAAAATGTATTTTTTGTGTGAATATTTTTGGGTTTCTGGAACGGATTAATTGTACAGTATTTCCATTATTTCTTATGTAAAATATTGCTTCGAATTTCAGACTTTTCGAATTTAGAACTAGCTCCTGGAAGGGATTAAGTTCGATTTTTGAGGTTAAACTGAATATCATGTTTCTATGTTATTAATACTGTTTATTATGTCATATTAGATGAATTGTGATAAATAAATAAGCCGTAGAGATGATATTAGCGTCATATTGAAGCATAATAACTTGCTCCCTCCTCCCCCTCCCTCTGCCCTCCTGCCTGTTTGCCATACACCAACAGGAGTCTTGAATAAAGTTAAGTGTGATGCTGAATGTTCATATACACATTTCATTAGTTCTTTATATTCATTTGTCATTGTTTTCTGTACGTAAATCTATATTTAATCTTTAAATAAAATATTTTTTGTTAATACTTTTGGGTGTCTGAAACATATTAATTGGATTTCCATTATTTTTTATGGGGAAAATGGTTTCACCAATTGTGAATTTCGCCATTCAGCAGACTCTCTGGAATGGATTAATCACGAAACTTGGGGGTCCGCTGTACTCTGGAATATCGGCAAAAATAAAACATTTCTGCTATTTTGAGCTCAATTTCAAACTACTTTCTGTCGAGAAACCAATCAAAATCATTTGTATTTCTGTAATAAATCTTCTATTCTATCAACTGAGATCAGGAAACCGAGAATTCAATCATAAAAACCATACGAAAGTACACCGCAAAAAATTTCTGTTTTTTTCTCATTATCCACTGTGTGCTGCAGAATTTTTTTATATGGTGCACCACACTTACTGCATAGACCCATTCTCTCATATATATCCCCAAATTTATTGCTCACAGCTTATCTGAGTGAGCTGAGCTCATGGTGTTGTACTATGGAAGCGACACTGCTGTGATATCACTGCGACAAAGCTGTGATACAATGGAACCAACCCTGAAAATGTTAAAATGGGGATGGTCAGAGGATGGCACACAAGGTACACATGTCATGATACTCAAGAAAGTGTCTGATATAAAGCCGTTGTTGTTGTGCTCTCTGATGAACTGGTCAGTCTAGATTTGGGACCATCAGTTGCAAGTGTGAACTCAATGTGTTAAGATAATGTTAATCACTCAAATCACCATCACATTCATTACCAACACTAACACATACATGCTGTGCATACCATGGAATAGGAGGTACAGTGAATGCACTATGAAGGATGGGAGAAGGTGCTGTAGTTCAAAAAGTCCTTTGTTTTGTGATATCTGTACACTCATGGCATGACAGCAAGTGACTGAGCGATGCTCAATGTGTTTCCCTTATTTGGGCCATCCTGCTTTGATGAGAAACAGTCGCATTAGTGAAAAAAAAAAAAAGTTAAGGAAGAATGCCTATGGAATATATGCTTTGATATAAGCTAAAAATATCATAGGAGTAGAGGGGTTAAATAATTCCCTCTGTAGTTAAATAAGTCTTGCAAAGATACTCAAGATGTTTGTCATCTAAATCTAAAAGACAAGCTCTAAAATTCTCCACCAGATGTTTGTCATATTAATTCAAAAGACACCAACTAGAATAAACTGAAGTCTACATACCTTTGTATCCACATTATTTTCAGTTTTGTGTGTACTTGATCCTCCAGCCACTGTGCTTACTTTATATGTCTTGCCCAGTGATTGCACAACCTTTATCTGTTACAATTGAAGGTTATTATTTCAATATTCTCATTTCACAAATAATATATACAACAATCTCCAAAATGTCTGTACGTAGTTGTAAGTTAAGGCTGCATAACCAGGGGCTTTCCATAAAGTATGAAAAAATGTCAACTTCTCCTGTATTAATTATATTATGTAAATTTACAAAAATAAAGATTATAATTATCATAAAAATTAAATTTATTATTTACTAAAATATATTTTATTCACACTGCCAGAAAAATTACATAAATATCAGAGGTAAGTAACTGTAATAAGTCAATAATTATGCTCAATATTTGGTCTCAAAAAATTATATATTAAAGAAATATTTATATCTAAAGAGCCAAGACCAAGTTGCCTTAAGTAAATCTTCTTTTCTTCTTTCAACGCACCGGCCATATCCCACCGAGGCGGGGTGGCCCAAAAGGAAAAGCAAAAGTTTCTCCTTTTATATTTATTAATATACAGCAGGGCGCCGCTTTACGGCGTTTTGCTTTACGGCGTTCTGCTAATACGGACATTTCAAATTATGACCAAAACTCGCTATAAACGGCCTCCCCCCCACCTGTCTTTCAATACGGTCACAGCTGCCCACCGAGTTTGTTTACATTCTCCCTGAGCACATCTCCTTATTATGTCTGGAAACTTTCCAAAATTTCAAGTGTTTTAAAGTTATTGTATATTTTATATGTATTGTACTTGATAATTAAACTTGTGTACACCTGTACCTAAATAAACTTACACACTGTGCTGGCATGTAGGTACCACATTAAAATCACTAAGTCTCTCTACTCTTGATGCAATAATAATAATAATAATAATAATAATAATAATAATAATAATAATAATAATAATAATATCTTGGGTGCATTAATGTCGCATATTACGTTAATATAGACATTTCCCTTAATCTATCTATGATATTTTTTCAAATTATATAAGAAACACATTATGTAACACACAAACATGATACATGCACCCACAGTATAAAAATTTATACAAATATATATGAGATGTTTACCAAACGGTTTGTAGAAGTGTCGGAAGAATTACGTTTTCTCTAGCCCGTCACCTGTTACTAGGGATAACTGTAGAAAAATATTCCTTTCGTATGCCTTCACTTTATAGCTATAATTCTGTACTAACTTGTACACAGTGTAAGAGTATTTGTTTCGTGATTCAATTTATAATAATAATAAAAATATTATAAGGTAAAAGTTTCACAAACTTTTACAAAAGTACATGAATGAACTAAAACTGGACATGTATTAAAAACCGTCTATTTCGCCTGACCGAGTGATCGTCCACAACCTGTTCAGTTTGTTTGTTTGTTTACGCTGTCTGAGCTCGGTATCATTAAATGTTGATATTACGTTAATATACACTTTTTCATTAATCCATCCGTGATATTTTTTTTCAAAATTATAAAAATAAACACGATACATAACATAAATACATAACAACATATGTGTAGAGAACCTAGGATACCCAAAAAAGTCAGAGTGACTTACTTCCATTGCCTTCACTCAGAGCATCATTTCTTCTAAAAATGATGTTACATGAGAATGGGAGTGTTCTTCTTTATTTATTCTACCGTATCAATGTAGAGACAACCTGTACACAATGCAACTTGTACACAAACCAGACGTGTACACTGTTTACAAAACTTACCTTCGCCTGGTTTGTTTACATAACTCGCGCCTTCCTCTCTCAGCACTCATTCTTTTCCTCTGGTATGGTAGCCTGGCTGACTACCATACATAACCCCACTTGATTTTTTACAATAAATACTACTCATCTCACCCTATTTTAAGGTAAGTAATGAGTGAACTGTATAAAACATTTTAAACGCTCTGGGATGCTTAAATATCATAGAATAGTATGTGTGGGGTGGCCTGGTATGGTAGCCTGGCTGACCTACCATACATACCACACTGATTTTTTACAATAATACCCATTTATCTCACCCTATATTTTAAGGGAAGTAATGAGTGAACTGTATATACATTTTATCGCTCTGGGATGCTTAAATATCATAAAAGTATGTGTGGGTGGGGTGGCCTGGTATAGTAGCCTGGCTGACTACCATACATACCACACTTGATTTCTTACAATAAATACTACTTGTCTCACCCTAGATTAAGACTATAAATATTTTAAGGTAAGTAATGAGTGCACTATGTGTGTATTGTACTTTTTTATTGTTTTTTTGATGCCTGGTTCTATTGCTAACATAATATATGTGAGTGTAAACTTGTTATCTAGTGTTTGTATGCATTTGTAAGTGGAAAAAAAGGGTGTTCCACTTTATGGTGGTTTCCGCTTTACGGCGGTAGCCTGGAACCTAACCCGCCGTATAAGTGGGGCCCTCCTGTATACAGGAGAAGGGGTTAATAGCCTCTTGCTCACGGCATTGTAGTTGCCTCTTGCAACATGCATGGCTTATGGAGGAAGAATTCTGTTCCACTTCCCAATGGAGATAAGTGGAATAAACAAGAACAAGTTAGAAAAATAGAAGAAAACCCAGAAGGGTGTATATATTTATGCTTGAACATGCCTGTGTAGTGTGACCTAAATGTGTGTGTGTGTGTGTGTGTGTGTGTGTGTGTGTGTGTGTGTTGTGTGTGTGTGTGTGTGTGTGTGTGTGTGTGAGTGAGAGAGAGAGAGAGAGAGAGAGAGAGAGAGAGAGAGGAGAGAGAGAGGGGAGAGAGAGAGAGAGAGAGAGAGAGAGAGAGAGACAGAGAGAGAGAGACAGAGAGAGAGAGACAGAGAGAGAGAGACAGAGAGAGAGAGACAGAGAGAGAGAGACAGAGAGAGAGAGACAGGAGAGAGAACAGAACAGAGAGAGACAGAGAGAGACAGGAAGACAGAGAGAGACAGAGAGAGAGACAGAGAGAGAGAGAGAGAGAGAGAGAGAGAGAGAGAGAGAGAGAGAGAGAGAGAGAGAGAGAGAGAGAGAAGGGGGGGGGGTAATTGGCCAGCCCTTTGCTCTGAGCTCGCCACCACCGATTGGAATGCTCTTCTCCAAGGGGATGTTGACAACCAAGTGAAAGCCTTCACTGGACACATCCTTAATCTACAACAAGAACACATTCCTCACCGGCAATATGTGACGAAGCCTACAGATCAGCCTTGGTTTGGCTTTCGCTGTAGAGAGGCTGCTACTGCTAAGTACAAAGCATGGCGAAGGTATAAGAGACATCCTACCACCTATAACAGGAACTTGCACAGGCAAGCCTGTAGGCATATGGGTGATGTTCAAAAGTGGGCCATTGCTAAATGGGAGGTGGACACTAAAAGAAAGCTTGCATCAGGTAGGGTAGGCTCCAAAACATGGTGGTCCCTGGTCAAGGACAGAGAAGGTTATCTGCCTGATGAACTTATTCCACCTCTAAATCGACAGGATGGGACCACCTCTACTAGTAGTCAAGAGAAGGCGGACCTCTTTGCTGAACACTTTGCTACCAAAATGCAAGTTCCTGATCCAGCAAGGGTCCCTCCTTGGCTAGCTGCAAGAACTGTGTCAAAACTGTCAGTGGTGATAATAAGGCAGGAGGAGGTGCATTTCCTTCTTAAATCGCTGGACCAAGAAAAGGCTGTGGGCCCAGACAAGTTGAGCCCAAGATTGTTGAGAAGATGTGCAGACCAGCTAGCAGCACCTCTAACTCGCATCTTTCAGCACTGCCTAGTACAGTGTAAATGGCCCTCTCTATGGAAAGAGGCAAATGTAGTCCCTGTTCACAAAAAGAAGAGCAGAACAGAAATCAGCAACTACAGACCAGTGTCACTCTTGTCAATCACTGGTAAGATCCTTGAGACAATAATCTCAAGACAAATGACAGAGTTTTTTGACTACCACTCACTACTTTGTGATCATCAATATGGCTTCAGGAAAGGTTACTCTGCTGCTGATCTGTTGTTAAACCTCTCCACTAAGTGGCACCAGTCACTGGATGAATCCAAAGTCAGCTGTGTGGTAGCACTGGACATTGCTGGCGCTTTTGACCGGGTGTGGCACCAGGGCCTCTTAGCAAAACTTCAAGCACTGGGAATTGCAGGCTCTACGCTATGTCTCCTCAGTGATTACCTTCATGGTAGATCTCTAAGTGTAGTTCTCAATGGAACGGAATCAGCAAGACATCCTATTGGGGCAAGTGTTCCACAAGGAAGCGTGCTGGGTCCATTGTTATGGAATGTCTACTTCAACGACCTTCTTCATCTCATCCCAGAATCACATGCATATGCAGACGACTGTACACTGACATTCACTTATCCAAGAGAAGAAATGCCAGCTGCTCTAAGCTACATCAATCACCAGCTGAGAGCTGTATCAGCTTGGGGAAATAGATGGCAAGTAACATTTGCACCTGAGAAAACGCAAATGATGATCGTCTCTAGGCACCACGATGGTAATGCTGGGGCAGTAGTAAGGATGAATGGGAGAGGGTTGGCACCTGGAGAAGTCGATATCCTTGGGGTGAAATTTGACTCCAAACTAACCATGAAGAACCATGTTGTAAATCTTGCAAACAAGGCAGCCAGGAAGCTTACAGCACTTCACCGTATCTCGCATCTGCTTGACAGTAGGGGTTGCAAGATCCTGTACGAGGCACAAGTATGCTCACACCTTGAGTATGCTCCACTTTCTTGGTTTGCCTGCCCCCACTCTCATCTGCGACTGCTTGACAGAGTAGAGAACAGAGCAAGACGTCTCATCTCTCGCCTGGACCCATCCTGGATAGATCTGTCATTTCAGCAGAGCCTTCAACATAGGAGGGATGTGGGTGGCCTTACTGTTATGTACAAGGCCAATATTGTCAAAATACCACACTTGGATCCACTTCGAGGACAGCGTGAAACAAGCTTTTATGCCACAAGACGGGCAGGAAGCAGCAACTTCACTCTGGCTGTACCCTTCTCCAGAACATCACTCCATCTGAGATCATACATACCCAGGATGACTCGAGTATGTAACACATTCGTACAGCATA